TATTCTGGCAGCCTCGTTTTGAATCATATCTAATTCATGCTTTTCGCTAGCTGAACAATTATCAAAAAGTATATCTCCATACTCTAATAATGGACGGATAAATGTCAAATATAATGTTTCTGATGTATTTCTGTCGAGTGTAAATTTTAGACTACGGAGAATATTGATCCTTGTCCAAGCTTTGTTTTTAATATATTCTAGATGATTTGACCATGAACAATCGTTTGATAGAACAACTCCTAAATGTTTGTGAGAAGAAGCTTCAAAAATGACTTGGTTTTGCAGAAGTAGGGGAGGATGTTGTGTTTTGATAGCTTTCCGAGATATAGTCATACATATGGTCTTTGCTGGATTAAACGAAACCATTCCATGTTAAAATGTTGAATTCTGCTAAAGACGGTGCAAGGGGGCGTAGACGGTAGTTTGCACTTGACATTACCGTCCATAAACAGGGTCAATCAAACCGAGCCTGCAATATTTTCAAGTTTGACGTGTTTGGTCTTTAGGGATGACACTTTCCGTGCCTTCATAACGCGCCGATTAAAACATGCAAATTCATTTTTCTTTACACAATTGAAGACAATTATTGATTGATCGAAAACAATCTGGAAACAAAGTGATCCACCGGAAGCATTAATCACAACAAAATTACATGAAAATTGCAGACTCGGTTTGATTGAGTCTATACATGAGGGATAATAAATAAGTGCAACATCCCTCACGCCCCCTAGATATTATAGCACAGAAAACAATAACATAAGATAATTAAGATCGAAAAATTTTACATTATATACTTTTAACAGGTACATTACAAACTGTGAAACGGGTGCCCTTTTGATAAACTATACTCAAAACTTTTTACAGTTAATTGGCGACAGTTGATGTCACGTGTTGTACAAACATATGAACACCGGGACAAGTAAAGATCAAGGGTTTAATTTACGATCTTGATTGAAATTTGAAAGTACAAAAAATACAACATTTCTTCTGTTTTTCGAATGTTCGTATTCGTTTTTCAATGTTCGAATATTCTGTAGTGTTTCGAATATTCAAATATATTTCCCGGCCCTAATCAATCGTTGCTTACATTTTCAATATGCATAACGAATTAACGAAATTACATGACGGGGGAACCACCGCAAACATACTTCCTTTCCTTGTTGGTCTTGTTTATCATATTTTACAGTAAAAGTTTATACAAATTATCGACGGGAAATATGTGTTTTGATTTAATGCAAATGATGAGTACTCTTTAAGGGGCGGTAACTTTTCTATTTTCGCTTCAACTAGAACATTTCCTTCTTAAAATATGATAAACAAGATCAACAAGGAAAGGCGGCGTTCAATGAACGCAACCCCCATTGAGGTTACTATCCTAAACGAATGATAATTTCGCGCAGGATTGATTCCGTATGATTTGATGATTGGCCACTTAATTCTTACACTCCTGCCAATCCTGGTAAATATAGTACCATCAGAATAAAATTGAAAATTAAAACATTCCACAGACCACTTTATAAATGATACTAAAACATTTTACAAAGATTGACTATATTTTCCTTTGGATAGCAAATTAATACAACCATTACTCATTATACCAAGATTTTACGCATTTTTGGGACTAGCAGTTGTTAAGGGCCGATTTGGTTAGGGGCGAAACGTCCTGTTTGCTCGAGATGATCTTGTTGCGTTAAAGGAATATTTTACAAATAACAAGGTTATAAGGGTGCCCTCCATAACATTTGTACCAATGCATCTCCCATCATTTCCTTGTGAGGATTGCAAGGTCTTTCCTTAGCAGTCCTTTATCACGCAGAATGCATAATATACTAGAAGAAGCCGGAAACTAAAAATGTAATTGCACATATTTATACATAAATATGGTGTTTAAAAGTTATACATGTATATAGTTAACAAGTAAAGTCTGTTATTTATGTTATTATAAGTATATTGTAATATGCCGCTTTTCATGGAATGGTACTAACTAGACATGGGGCGATTACTTGACAATTGTAATCGATTAAATTATGATTATTTGTCAAAATGCTTGATTAAATTAAATTACTGATTACTCCATTTTGACATCGTAATTGATTAAATTACTGATTACTGACAGGAGTAATCAGATTACATTTATGATTACTGATTACATGTACATAAGTTAAGAAATGCAATGGTTCAACACTATTGTTTTATAGAACATTTCAATACAACAAATGTACAAAAAAATAATCCAGCTTAGTTTTACAGTAATTAATTCAGTCTACATATGTACATGTGTTGCCTCCTATTTACTAAGCTATATTCTCATATTACATTTAATGTTCATTAGTTTTTCAAATGTATTTGGTTTTAGGAGGCACCTCGTAGTAGTAAAGATTTTTCCAGCTATGCTGAATACTCGCTCTGATTCTGCGAGTCATCATCAGGATTTTTTTCTGGCAATATGAAGTATTTAACAACAGCAGGCATATTTACTGCCATGCTTATTGCTTTCTTTTCGATATGATGAAAATCTTTTTGTACATTTTGCTTCTACATGGACTTAACAATACCAAAATGTAACAGAAAATGTAACAGAAAATATAACCATATCTCACTTTTGTCAGTAATTGCAGCTTATACTTGCTCTTTACTGAACCTGTAAAGTCTTCTCAATAAGTGATAATATACCTATCCAGGCCATTGTTATAATTTCACAGCTAAATTTAAGTGGTATAATTGTGACAATCATTTATGTATTGGGTCAATCTGTCAGTGATCTTTTCATCACCTTATTAAAACACAGGTGTCATCAAATCTGACCTGGGTGACTGCATTTAATTCACCTACACTACCTAAGACAATTAGTAGGCATTGACACTGGTACTTTTTTAACCTTTATATGTATGTTTGTTCAGCAATTTTTTTTAGCTTAACATGTATTGTAATCATACATGTAATCATTGTGATTACTGATTAATTGGTCATGTAATTGATTAAATTATGATTAAATTACAGGAAAAAAATTATGATTACTGATTACTGTGATTACTCAAAAAATTGTAATCGATTAAATTAAATTAAATTACCGATTACGATTACCCCATGTCTGGTACTAACGTGTCACATTAAAGGTTCCATGATAACCACCATATGAACACATATGCGGATGTTTCAAAATTCTAAATTTTACCAGTTTATGTTAAAATGTTATATACTGCTTAAGCCGGTGCTAGGGGACGTTGACGGTAATTTGCACTTACCAGTAAAAGTAAAGTAATTGCATTTTATAGTCTAAGTTTCATGCTTACGCACGTTCACCGACTTTACAGCTATTACCCCTGGTCATCGGGCTACTGGTATCTATCTATCAATCTCCCTAGGGAGACTTTTATCTCCGCTTAGTGCAGCCGACACTTTGGCGCAACGGAGTTATACCACCCTCGCAGGTACCCATTTACACCTGGGTGAAGTGAAGCAATCACAGGTAAATTTCTTGCTCAAGGAAATTAGCAGTGCCCCTGGTGGGGTTCGAACTCAGGACCTCTCGATCCCTAAGCGCGCGTCCTACCACTGGACTACCAGTACCGTCCATGAACAGGCTCAGATTTTCAAATTTGCAGTGTTGGGCTTTCTCTAGGGATTCTTATTTTTCTCTGTTATGTAACTTCCACTCAAGCTTTATTATTATTATTTAGCATAAATGATTATATTTGTTGCTTGATTTCATAATTATTGTCATTTTAAAATGTCATATACAATGTATTCTAATTAATAGGACCCGTGGTTGAAAAGATATTCTTTGCGTAAACTTTAAAATTTAAATATTATTTTATAATATTATATGTCATTTGCCATGTATAAATTTATAAAAAAAAAAAATCAAAGAAAAAATGTTTTTTTTATTGATAATATTTTGCCATGGCAAACTTTTATGTAATTGCCATGGCAAATTTTTGCCATGGACATGCCATGGCAAATTTTTGCCATGGAATTGCCATGGCAAATTTGCCATGGCAGAAATTTGCCATGGCATTTCTATGGCAAAAATTTGCCATGGCAAAATGAAAAAAATTAGAGATTGCAATAAAAACATAACAATAGCACCAACAACATGTCATAGGATAAGTTTTAGAATGTTTTGTGATGTTTTAAAAAAATAATTGCCATGGCAAATTTGCCATGGCAAAAGTAGGAAAAATCTTGCCATGGCAATTCTAATTTGCCATGGCAAATTATTTGCCATGGCAAAATGCCGAAATGCCATGGCAAAACACACTTTGCCATGGCAAATGCAAACTTTCAATGCATTTTTACAAAAAAGTATTAAAGATAGAAAAACAAAACATATTAACTTTTAAACCTTTTAGTAAATATGACAATTTAAGATAGTTTTCATTTTTTTAAAGCGCGTAAAAATAGGGGTTGAATTTGCCAAAAACTGGCGCGGCAAAAAGAAACCGGCAGCTATTAAAATATAATTTTCACTGTAGCCGGACTATATCTGAATGCGGATGAACAGATAATCATAACTAGATGGAATAACAGGCAGAAATAAATGCCGTCATACGTAAATTTTGCTTCTTTAGGAAAAGAAAGTCCATGTCATCATACATCAAGTTAGAAATTTAACAAAATTAGAGAAATTTAACGGAACTAGATTTCAAAACTGATGATGTGACGTAATGATATTATGACGTCACAAAGGAGATGCGAGACGTTACGCGGCAAAATCAGTAAAAAAATAGCTTAAAATCACTTAAAAAGCATAAAATAAAAAGAAATTTTATTTGTTTTACATATAAGATTGAAATATATTTCATTCGTGAACACCAGCTATTATATTTTCACTCGTGGCTACGCCACTCGTGAAAATATTGCATCTGGTGTTCACTCAGTGAACTTATATTTCAATCTTACATGCAAAACAAACAAATATCCTCTATATAAATAAATGTTACCACATGATGATATTTTTCTTAGTCTACAAACTTTAACATTCTATTTTTTAAATATTAGTTTGGTGTGGCTGTAAGAAATGTTCAAGACATTTACGTGAAAGCAATTGAAGAACAATCAACTTTACAGGTCTGTATATATGAAAAGGTTACATTATCATTTAATTTCCAATCGTTAATTTGCTGAGAATAACATTATTTTTTTTCTATTTTTTCTGGTTTTATCTAAAAGTATATTTTATTATATTAAGCTTTCAATATTATAATTTTTTAGTTTTATATTTTGTAAATTTTTCAGATTGATTTATGTTGATTATTTAATTCTCTTGAAAAGTACAAACAGAAAACATGTCATTTCTCAGTGAAAATGTGTTTGATAATAGCTTTATTTCAGATTGAGCTCATTATGGATTTAGAACATATCTGTCAGCTTTTTCTCAATACCCTCAAAAGATTTGATTGTACAAAGAGGTTAAGAAAATGGCTGAATATAAAATTCATGCAGGATCCAAACATGAGTGTACCTCTTAGACGATTAACTTCCGAAGATTGATTAACTCGAAGAAATACGTAAAAAACAAGTACATTTAACTCTACTCTTTGTATTAACCATCACATAAATAAATGCAATTATTTATCAACAAAGTATACCATAATATTTAAAAACAATACCAATATACCAAATGGTATTTTGTTTATTTGAATGAAACTATCTATTTATTTCAAAGGTAAGCTACGAAAGGCAAAAACATTACTTAAAATATATCTAACTTATTCCTTTTTCAGTAAAATTCGCAAAAATTGACCTGACAGAACTGGTGGAAAAGACTTCGTTGAAAGATCTGTATACCCTCATGCAACAGTATAAAGATGAGCCTCCGTTTTAAAAGAAATAGCCTTTACATACAGATATCCACAAAAAAACAGAATCACCTTATAGGAATAGTTATGTAGCGAACTGTATTTCTGAAAACTGTGCAATTATAACAAACTAAATTTTAAAATGGATGCAAGCATGTATATAACCATGTATAATGTAATTGATAATGTAGATTATCAATATAAATATATTTCTGAAAACTGTGCAATTAGAACAAATTAAATTTTAAAATGGTTGAAAGCATGTATATAACCATGTATAATGTTAATTGATAATAAAGATTATAAATATAAAAGTTCAAACAGACACTGCTGACATGGCGTAGCACAGCATTAACCATGAATAATGTAACTGATGATGTAGATTATAAATATTTTTATTATTAAATGTTCTAACAAACATTGCTGACATGGCATAACAAAGCAAAATTTTGATAGTATTGTGTATTTAATTGGGCTATTCATGCCATAGCAGAATATGATAAAACATTTTATTTTACTTTTTTATTTTATTTAATTTACTAACCTTAATTCGTTATGAAATCGAAATACCTTAATGAATTCTATGAAGTAGTTATTCAAATTTCTGTTTTTAATGTATGTTCGGAGCAGGGCTATGCAAATTTGAGTGATTGTTTCTACTCTATCTTACCGGACCTGAAAAACTGTCATTAGACGGGATATATCTACTTATTTAGCGCACCAATCTTAGTTTTCTGACTCAAAGGCAATTAATTTCTTCTATAGAATACATTTTCATAATAACTATTCGTTTTTTATCCGAAATGATTATCTATAGCTTTTCTGAGATTGGTTTTACTATAATTTTTGACTGACTCCGTGGTAATCGCATTCCAATATCATTTTTAAAATAGCCTTTTTGTTTGTTTGCTGTTTAAACACAAACTTTTGCTGTTCAGTTGCTTCTGTTTTCAAACTAATTGTACCAATTTTGTCAACTGCTTGGAAACAAAGTTTTCTACATTTAAAAGAAAAAAATGTATCACGAATGGTGTAATAACAAGCATCATTTTATAATTTTAGATAATTACAATTTAAAAGTGACATTATGTTCATTTTAAATTAACATTGTCATACTGAGCTGTATTTGCTATAATATCTGTTAAAAGATCGATTAATATATAAATGTACAACGGGGATTGACCAATATTTGATTATGACATAAGTAACAATCGATTTATAAAGACCTCCAAACAACTAATATGCCTGCCAAACACTTTTTATCAAAAAACGTTCTCGAGTAATGTGGATAATTGATTATTTTTTTAAGTATATTGACAAAGTGAATATAACTACATACTACAAAATATAAAGTGAATATAATTATAACTTCTTCCTGTACACTCTCCACTAACACTAGAAAACGCATAATGTCAATGTAATAATCAAGATTGAATGTTTCATCATATAAGACGAACGTGTGCAAATTTTACTCTCAAACAAAACTAACAAAACTAATAAAAGTATATAGCGCAAAACATGCGAGGAAAGGTTCCTTAATTATATTGGTTCTTAGTTATTTGCTTATGCTCTGTCTTTTCTTTTCTCGTATTCGTATCATTTACCTGATTTTTGTGTGGGTGTGTTAAGGGATGTGTTGGTGCGTTGCGTGTGCGTGTGTTGAGTGAATGCGTGCGTGCGTGTGTGCGTGTGTGCGTCTTTGCATGCGTGTGTATAAGTTTAATAAGGGTCCATCCGAGCAAATATTATGGGCTTATGTGGCTATGGGAACAATATGTAACAGTTACTATTCTTTGATCTTTTTCATTTCGTAACGTTTTGTGTTTGTTTGTTTGTTTGTTTTTTTTTTTTGTTGTTGTTGTTTTTTGTGAACAATAAAATAGTCACATTAAACCAAAACGTTAGAACGTCCGCTATTTCAGGCACTGAGAGTCCGGATCCCGGACAGGTCACCAATCATGCCTTTCTTTATTTTTATCTAAATATATATGTAAATTTATATATATGTAAATTATGTTAAAATTAATGACTATATAATTAAGTGACATGTAGGCCCAACGTGGCCTGGTGTTGTAAAAACAATATGTATCGTTATTATGTATGTACATAACACAATGTCACTATAATAAAATTTACTTATACTTATCTTATCTTTCTATTTTGTGACCAATAAGAGACTCATATATTACCCCCAAAATTAGGCAAAGTCATGGCATTGATAATGTTTTATTACCTTTTGAGCATATAAATCGAAAGTCAACGAGGGTTGTATCCCTAGCCGTTGTCATTTGTGGAAGATGTTATTACTTTTCATGTATAGATCAAATAAATCTGTGTTCTCCTTCAGACTGAGGATAGGCTTCCGGTAAAGTAAGCTACTTCAGAGAGTTTGAAACCATTCCGTACAATAGTAGTGAAAAGATTCGGGCAAATTATTGCACGGACGCACGAACACACGCTCGAACCAGTGACATTAGCATATTTCTCATCTGAGGATTATTTAGGATAATCATCTCAGTTATAATATTATGACTTCCCGGTCATTTTATAATGACCGGGGTCATCAGCAATTGGATAGAAGTCTCTGCATGTTGCTTTTGATATCATATAGTGGGATTTGAATTTTATTCAAATCGGCGATATGATGACAACCTTAGCAGCTCGTGAATTAAATGTCGTTGATTAATGTAATTTTAGACGATATTTTCTAGCACCGGTACAAAAAAAGATATAGGAGTCCAATTAAGTTGACTTTGTCTATTCAGGAGCACCGTGTCAAATAATATAAAATGAGTCTGTAATTATGAACACTTTATCTGACTTAATATCTCATATCATTCTTTTCATTCTATTTTTGTTGCATTGAAAAATATTATTAATCAACTGATATATTGTGTAAAGAGGTATTGCTAATGCAAAACCCGATATGATACTTAAAGCTTGCAATCTAGTCTCAAATTATCTTAAAATACTACGTTTAATTAATTGATCTACAAATTACATAATTTTAGATATGAAATGTTTTATGATGTAAAATATCCCAACAACGACTTTAAAAGTACATTAAGCAAGATAATTGGAACCATATATAAATTAATCAGGGTTTGACAATGAATCTTCGCTTACGCTTATGCATTTGTATGTAACTATGTATAATTGTGAGACAAAGGGGTAGGATCTGTGTGGAAGATCTTATTTAAAGAGCTCATTTAGTAAACAATTTTATTTATTTAATGTGTTGTTTTTGTTGTTCTCAGATCGCATGATGGAGTTTGACATGTTTGTTGTCTTTATCATTTAGAGTAATATTGATGAATATTTAGATTAAACAAATACATAATGTCATTATGTTTATTAATACGTTTTCATAAAATTGTAAGAAAATATGAAATGTGTTATTTGTTGTTGTTTGTGTTGTTGTTAAAATTTTACGGGGTTCGTTTTGTATATTTTTGTCCTGACAGTAATGTGATCTGTTAATGACATTGGAATAAAAAGCTATACCTTTACAGCACCACAAGCGCCCTAACCAAATAGTTGTAAATGAGAGCGTTTGTCAACAAAAGTATCATTTATTGGAATACTCCATGATATATTATTATTGACAATTCATCTGCATTATTTTCCAAACAGCCCTAAATCATTTAATAACGTTCCATGACTCTGTCCATTGTTTTGAGAATACGAAACTAATATGTCAGGGAAATATATATACCCATTATTGATCAATAAACTAAAGCTAATTTCCATCATCACATTGTCCAACGTGACAATGTCCTCGTGACGTGTATAATTCATGTTTGTTGTGTGGACACGACACTCCCTTGCTGATTTTTACTCTTAAATTGAAAATATTATTCAGTGCAATTGTGAAAACTATAGATGAGATCGTATACAAATTGAGAGCACAAATAAAATGTGCAGTAATCTGATACAATGAAAAAATATTTATACATAGCAAACATTATGGCAAAGTTCTAAAATAAAAACAAAAGATATTATAATAATTTAACCGTAGGTTAAAGTTTCCTAAAATATAATAGGAAAATATATAAAATTATATCAATTGTTTGATTACACTTCTTTTGGTTTCATAGAAAAACAGGACGTAATTCTGTTACAAGTAAATCGTATGATTTAATATAGTTTAAAGCTGATCCCAAGTTAAAATTAATACATCATTTTAAACTATAGTGACATCATCTTCCCTGTATTGCTCATAACTTTCAATCGATTTAATATATATGCTTGAAATAAACCTAAATGAGCTTCTCAAACATCAAATTGTAAGAACGTGTACAATATAGAATAATTTGCATTGCAATCCTTGTCTATAAATGTCAATCAATTTAGGTATATGAGCCTGAAGACGAATAATAACTAGATGAGTTACTCGTTATTTACTTCAAGCAACAGAAAATGAAATATAACAATAACAATATTTGACATGCCGCACTAGCATGTTTATTAACAATGATTGATAACTAAAAACCTTATTGAATTTAACATCTTACTTTTTTAGTTTTACAAACAAAAGAAAATATAAATTAATATTAAGTATCAATCATTTACATTGTTTTGATAACATTGTTGTTTATTCGGATAAAAACACGAAATATTGATATTGTCTACCGTTTCAGGGGGGAGGAATATTGCACTTTAGTCAACATCCGGAATCATAATAAAGTTCACTGCAACCAACAATATGAGTTTGAATACTTTAAGAAATATTCTCAGAAGAAACAGGATACAATTTACAATATAAGATCCTTAAAAGACACCTAAGTTAACATTTTATTAAAACTAAGACATTATGGATACTGGTTTGTGTACCTATATAAATAACACTTATTCATCATAATAATTTTAATTTCATCACGTCTTAGAATGGTGGTGGCAAGAAATTCATTTTATGCCAATAATGCAGAGCCAAATTTTGGTGTTCACTGTTTGTTATATAGTCAAAACATATTTTAATTTTTTTCTAACAATTATGAATGTTTGATAATTCTCATAAAGGATTAAGCATTGTATGGTTATTAGTCTAATGCTTTATATGCAATATGAGTTTCATGAAATGATGTCTTCTCCCAAAAGTAAAAACAATATTATTTTTACAAGTTTGTATTGTCATTCGCCTCATAAAACTTAAGAGACGCATATATTTCTATAAACATAGAGAATGGCTTTGCAAACTCAATTATCGTCTTGAAAAATATGCTAAAGCCATATATTTAAATTATGTGAATGAAGGCAACTATCATGCACCATTGTCTAAGAAGCTAAACGTCGATCAATTAAGATGAATATGTCTGACGTAAACTTGAATTCTTAATTCTTATTTCATGACATTGACCCATAAAATGATTTGCTTATCGATAAAAAAGCCCATAAGACCTTCAACATTATAATTTTTTTTATTTCTAGAATCTTCTTAGGTCTAAAAATATGAAAAAAATGTGCCATTAACCTGGACCTATGGTTTTACAATACCACTTTGTTTACAGTTTTCTACCTTCATTACTATAATGTCATATTGAGTGCTACTCTCTACAAAACTATCGTTCTATTAGTATTGTTATGGTGAACTTAGATAAAGGAATTCTTTAAATTGTGTTTAGATGATATTCAAAGGTACATATTTTTTATTATAAAAGTGATGTCGATAACCCGTAAAACTAAAAGTGCACAAAGGATATTGTCTGCTGCGGTAATTCAACACTCATCACAATATCTGATATAGCCGTAAGTAAATGACTGTGAATTGTCAAAATCACTTTATATCATGTAGACAGTTTTGGTAAATCTCTGTGTTATTAGAGCGTATGCTATATCATCAATACTTTGAATCTTACGTTTACTTTAAAAGTATCATCGGATTTGTGAAATAATAACATTGAGTTTGCTGTGTTATGCTATTCCCCCCAAAAAAGAAAAATAAAACCTTAAGGAACGCCTATAAAAGCCAATTTCAAAGGTTTGCAGATTCTGTTTGATTGCCCCTGGTTACCGACAGTTGCTGGAATTGCAAAGTACTGTCCATCTACTAGTACCGACTTTAATCTAAAAAAATATTTACAACTAAGCTGTCTACAAAGTGATGAGTCGACTTGTTATTATAAAGGTTATCAAAAAATATATAAGATATAGGAATTCTCTTTACTATATATTTTGGCATAAAAGAACGAAATCAAATGGCAATGGCCTTAGATATTTTATATTAAAGCTATCGTTGTACTAAGCACATCATTATCAATTCCAAGTTGTATCTAATTGGATAGGACAACATCTCTTGACAAGTCTGGCAGGGCTCATTTCCACTACCATCTGGTTTGTGTCCTCAAGACATGTATAAGAAGTTAAGGAGTTCCTTTGCATTCTGTAAACAACACTCGCCCTTGTTGATTTTTTTTTTCTCATATAAGATATTATCGAGTGGAACTCGTTTGAACAGTATGGATGAGATCGTTTAAAAATTGAGTACAAGAATAAAATTTGC